GGGTAGTACTTGTCGCGGACTAAGTTCTTGAACATGTCCCATGTACAACCCGCCTTTTCACCGGGACGCATGCTCCAGTAGGCATTCCACAAGAGCCTCGCATCGCCAGTGAGCTGAAGCTGAGCGCAAACTACGCGATACCTATCGGGGCATTCCATAACCTCAAAGATAAACTCCAACCCCTGAATCCATTCATCCACGACCCGGGGGTCTCCCTGTCCTGAGAACTTCTCCGCATGATAGTCGCGGATCTGAGCGACTACCGTAGCCTGAGTAGGACCCTGATGATCGGGCTCTCTACGTGGCGGCATCTGGACATTTGAGAAAGATTTAACATTACTGAATATTTCATGATAACCTTACTGACTGATTACTAGGCACACAGATCTCTTGACGAGTTGCCAAGGATGGCCGATAATTACTGACGTGAAACCTGAAGAACTCTAGAGTCATATAGGAAAATCCTAACATCTAGAGTCACATCTGAATGCCTGAATTCTAGAGTCATGTCCGAACTCTAAGGTCTGAATCTGATTCGAGCATCTTAACTAAAGTCCTGATCCTCAATTCTGAGCATAGACAAAGTAATATGTTTATAACTGAAGAACTGAATCAGCACTTACCTGTCGTCGGCGGGGCGTGAGCATGACGGTGCGGGTTTTTCTGAAAAATTACTGTCTGAAAAACTTATCAGAGACGCAGAAACGTGCTCTGATACCAATTGTAACACCCCTCCTTACTAAATTAATCAGAGTAGCGCAATAATTCGCAAAGTCTTTAAAAATAAAACATTTTTACTTTGCGAAAACTGTTTCGGGGTGCTACCGTGAAAAATCATTACTTAACTTAGAAAACCGTTGTTTTAACTTAATAAAAACGTCTGGTTACTGAAAACTTTATTTTCTTAAAGCTTCGTCAAAGTGATGAGTTCGTCAAAAAGTGTACGTCAAAAGATATCAAAACATCATCACAAGTCATCAAAACATAAGCGGAAACGTAAGTCAAAATCATATTTATACAGTCCAAAATATATAAATATCCTGCAGTCCCGTCACGTCACGTCACGCTCCCGGCCCGACATCCTGACCTGAAAAACAAGATAATACTGGGGAGTGAGCACTAAGGCACTGTGCTCCGTGGAAACTCATACTAATGTAAAACATTGTAAATAATAACAATATCATGAACTAAGCATATATAACTGAACACAATCTGATACCGGTCTGAACTCGCGACATAAGTCACGTAACTGATAATTGATCTCGTGACCGAAGCCACGTAGTGAC